AGTGTTAACTTCCATCCTTTCACGAAGCCGATGCAGAAACCACACACAAAGGTGGTGAAGCGCTGCAGGAAAATGGCGACTTGGTCCGCAATGGCGTCGTTGATCTTGTTGATATCGCTGTAACACAGACATAACCACGTTAACATGTGACACATCGATACTCCACAAATGCTCCAGACGGAACTCGTGTCATCGTCGCCCCACTCACTCCGACATGCGAGTGTTGAGCTCCCCGACAGAGGTGCAGTCGAACCAGCCGATCTCCATCCTCATCACTTTGCTGAAGTACATTTTCCGGATGACTTGAATCTGCCTGGCAGCGGTCGTCACCCACAAGGAGATCTGTCGGTCGTAAAAAGAGCGGTTGCACTCGTGTTGTTAGATATAAAAGCAAGCAGGGCAACAAGATGGCGTCGGGACCCTGACCTTTCACCTTTGAACATGGCTTTTATGCGATGAAGTTCAGCTTATTCAACATAAGGAGTACGACTCAGCCTCACAACAGCTGTATAAAGACTTCTGTGGCTTTGGAGGAGCTTTTTCAATTTGAGAAAAAATACTTTGATGATGTGCATAATGGGAAATGTAAGATCAAGCAATTTTCACCAATTCTAGGGAGTAAAACTCAGGATATCTCTGCCTCTCCTGCTTTGATTAGATCAAAATCTGTCTCTGGTAATCCTCCTATCTGTATGAAAATGTAATACAATCTCTAAACTATTAAGTGCTCTATAATCCAATAGTGTAAGTAGTCCCTGTCCTGCAAATAAGATTCAAACCAGTTTTTAAATGTGCCAGAAGGTCTCATCCACTTTTCCAGTCTAGTAATACGTTGTGGCCGACCGTGTCGAATGCAGCCGTTCGATCTAATAACTGCTCGTAATAACAACTGTACGTGTTCATGAGTAAGGGGTCGAGATCAATAGAGGCTTAAAAAGCGCACGTTTCAGGGCCTGTGGCAAAATAGCCCGAGATAACAGAAGAGTTGTGCCATGCAGTTAAAAACATATTATTAAAACGCTTGTCAGAATATCAAAGCAGCCGGAGGAGGCTTTGAGAGGTTGCACAATACCCTTCAAGATGAAGAGGTGATATGATCAAAATATGTCATGCTGATTGAATTGGCTCTAGGTGGATGACGCGCGCTAATCTCATTTGAGATCAGTCTCTTTGTGTGAATACGATGACATTTCAAGACCAACCTGAAAGTATCCCAGCAGGAACACAGCCGCTCCAATCCCAACATAATAGAAGGCAAAATTGGTCATTTCATGTTCAATGTCAAGAAGCCTGGGAAATAGCACAAAGACAGTAAATGAATAATGTATGAACTACAGAACCACAAGCACAGATCTAAAACTTCAAACCTCACACTCTATTTGATGTCGCCCTCGTGCATTTCTCACTACCCACTTACCCACACGTCCTGTTAATCAGCGGTGTGAGCATCTCCCATGTCGAATTGTTCATGAAGCTCGAGTTCGGCCACGGCGGGATCAGGCCGTCCGCCGCCGTGTAGTTCCTCTTCCACTGGATGGTGTTGTTCACGCACTCCTTCCTGTCGTCCCTCAGCTCGTTGAGCTCGATGTCGTACTCGATGAAGGTGTCGGTGAGCAGGCCGAACACCAGCAGCATGAGGGGCTGGGCCGAGCCGTGCGCCACGGCGCACACGCTGCCCACCGCCATCATCAGCACGTCGTGGCACGTGGCGAAGCGGAACTGGACGGGCGCGACAACAACACTCGCATTAGGAGGACGAACCTCAAAGTGGAGATGAAGAAAGATGAAGAATGAACACCTTACCAGCTGGAAGAAGCCGACCCGTATCGCTGGTTGATCTGCATTCCCCCGATTGCTGTTTGGAATAGAACACCGGTTAGTTTTTTTTAAATCGGAGGTGAATGTGTGAAAGTGTACAGGCCCTCTATTGCCATCTTGTACTCACTTCCCGTCATCATTGGAAGTTGTTGTGGTCCTGCATGGAAAAATTCAAAACACACGGTGAGCTGCTCAACTTAACACTTTGAAAATGAAAGTCCTCCCCCCATTGTTGCTGAAATTCACCAGTCATGACACTTTAATCTATCAACTTTTTGTTTAATTAATGATGCTGTATGGTGGTCCTGAAAGCTCAATGCACTGCAAATTAAGAGGGATTAACCAGTGATGAAAACAATCCTTAATTGAAGCCCAATCTTGTATTAAATCATGCAATAAATCATTTCTATTGCACATGGAATGCATTACTTAAAACCCTTATTATAAAGTGTCACCTATTTTCTGATGCAGCAGCGCTGTTAAAGACACAAAACAACTAGAAACCTCACCAACAAGTCAAGTAAGGACACGTCAAGTCGACAAGGAAAGACAAGTCGACAAGGAAAGACGCCAAGTCGACAAGGAAAGACAAGTCGACAAGGAAAGACGCCAAGTCGACAAGGAAAGACAAGTCGACAAGTAACATAAGTATTACTAGAACACAGTCATTTATAACCCTTAAAACTACATCCAAGATGATTCCTAAAAAACTCATAAACAGTCCAAAGAACACTTACTTATAGGAGCCAGCTGGTTCTGGAACACAAGAATAGAATAAGCATGCAACTCTTTTAAAATGACATCCGTATATTTAACTTTTGTTTCATTGAAATAAAATAACAGATCTCCATATTATTTGATCATTTTTGCAGCATTGCCGTTTAGCGTTCATTGAGCATTACCTTCATTGGAAAAGTCGTAGCTGTGGTTTTCCTGTCCCAGTTTCTTTATGCTGTGCAATTTCACTGATCCGGTCGGCATGTTGACTCATCTAGGAAAAAGCAAAAAGAGCACATTTCACAAGTCCAAGACCAGGATAATCAGTGTTTTGTAATGACGGTAAAGTCAAAAATTAAATCCTACTTGAGAGTACATTTATTTTGGACTTTCAAGAGAGAATGAGACATACCTACACGTTTTCCTTTTTAAAGAGAAATCGATTGAAACCAAAATCGGCAGCACTCCTGCACTGAACTCCAGCAGCCAGACATCCAGTTGTTACGTCCACCGGCTAATTGTTGCAGTGGCAGCTCGTCGCGACTCACTGAGGATCTCGGCAGCGAGTCGCATGTTCTTATTGGACAGAACTGGCTGGGACTCGGGGTCAGCGTGTGTTGTTTGAGGGTAAGTGTCCTGTCGGTTTATGCTGCTCAAAAGGCCAGTGACCTCAGCAGGGCAAATATTTTACCTGCGGAGGCCCCGCGCTGTTTGTGCATCCTCACTATCTGAACACGACTGATTTGCTTTCGAAGAGGATTATGTTATCCTTCGGACAGTATTCTTTAGATGTGAAATTATTTAGTTAATGGGGGCGGCAGCAGCTCGGGGTGTGCGATTCGAGTTCTATGTGTACCTGGCAAACTTGGCACACACCAGGCGAGGTGCTAGTTCCCCTAATGGGCACTGCCGAGGTGCTAACTGACCCCATCACTCCAACATCTCTCCAGCTGCGTGTCAATGGCTCCCGTGTGTGCATGTTTGGCCTGAAATAAATGATAAAAATTGAATAAAGTAATTCTTCGTGTGTAGCATTTCCATAAAAACAGCCGTTACCGACGCATTCTGCTGACTCTGACTCTTCTGCTACTGCTGCATTGTGTCTGCACATTTAATATCCCATCACACATTCAAAGCTACAACACAGCTTCACCATGCATGCGAGCACGGGTTGTGTTTGGATGTAGCTGCAGGTTGACATTTAGGTCATTGCCCTCTTCCAGCTCGACTTCCTCAACAGCTTCATGCCGCGAAGACTTCTGTCATCTTTTTTCACCTTGAATGCAACAAGGGGAATGTATTATTTACTGATGCTAATGAAGCTTTGTTTACATCATTAGGCCTATATTTCAGGTTTTAATCATTTCAGACAATCACAACAACATGCTTAGTTGTCATCTCTAAAATCGGGTCCTTTAATAATGTATGAGAATATAAAAGCCTGCTTGTGATTTTTGTTGTTGATAGAAATGTGACTGATTGCACGGGCACGCTTACACATGAAAACAACTGGTGTTTATATGCCGTTGGTCACTCACCGCTGCCTTCAGGCGCCGTCAGAAAGATTATGGACATGTGTCCACGATGCAAAGTTTCAGAAATCAGTGGACATGATTTATGCTTAACCATAATCTTTGTTATAAAAGAAAAAAATACAAAATGTAATACCATTGAACACATACCTTTTCATTTGTTATTGTGTTGTTATTAGTGGGTTTTTTATGAATAAAGTTTATTATTTATTAATACCATGCATGAGTGTTGTATAAGGTCAACCTAAAGGGAACTGCGCTGACTCCAGTACCGTCAGAAATATTGTAACAAACTGATTGCACACACAGAATCCAAAAAAATGGGGTTAATTGCAACTTTAAAGGTTGCAATTTTCTATGTTTTCCCGAGTTACTGTTACATTTAGAGGTTGGGAAAGCTGCATTAACAACTGATTGTAAATGGCTTTATTTTCTGTGACTCATTTCCTACTGAAACAACAACAGTCCTGAAGCATTTACATGTGCAAGACATTTGGAAATGCTACTTATTGGAAATAAGAGTGCTTGAAGGCAGCATTTGCACAACAGGGAAATTACAACACTGCACTGCTGCCACCTTGTGGTGAAAACGTAGAGACTCCTCAGAAGACCCCACACACTCGGTTGGCTGTGGAAAATGTGCTATAAATAAATAGAAATAAGCTATATTACCGGTGCACAGTGCAGTTATTTCACACATATCAAGAAACCAGGCACAGGGACCTTCATGAGTGGACTAAATAAGATCTAAATAGACGTCCAGTGCGTCACTGTTAATCAGGGGGAATAGGAAGCAGCTGGTCTCCCCTCAGCAATTAGCACCAAACTGCTCAGAATGCTAACTGGGTTTCCCCACCGGCTAGCTCCCGGAGAAGGTCAAACAGCGAGCTAAAGACCGAGATATGTTTTTTAAAAAAGACAGAACTACAGTGGATATCGAGCTTAAGTTCATCAAGAGGACAGAGACTTGACTCCAGTGTGACCAGAACGGTGTTCCTCGTCTGCCTGGACGTGTAAGTACTAAATTGTTCGCTAGCATCATATTACACCTAGCCTACATCCGGGGTATTCAATTAAAACTCAACGAGGCCCAATAGAGAATATCAATACACAATAACCCTAAATATATATATATTGAAGAAGCATTAACGTCTGTATGTAGGCAACAACTGACTGTCATTTCAAGTATAGAAAGTTCAATTGAATTTTTTTAAAATAGAACTGGAAACCACTTGTTTCAGCCTCATTCTCCTCTGTATACATCATTGTTGGTCAGTGGATTCGTGTGTTAGGATTCTGATCATATTGGGCCCTTAGGTGTATTTTCTGTGCCTTCATTTTGGATGTGAGTGGGTACGTTTGCGTTAGTGGCGCTTTTAATATTGTCACGGTCTAGTTTTCAAACTGCCCGTGGGAAGAATTGACATTTAGAGTTTGTCCATTCTTGTTTAAAGGCTCTGGTCTCTCTGACCACTTGTGAAATACCTTCTTTACTCACGTATTTTTCTCGGACTACTCGGTCTCGCGCCCCGCCTCTCCTGAGTGGGACAATCTCACCCGAGTCTTTTTAATTCTTCTTCTTCTTCATGTTTTACGGCGGTTGTTAATCCAGTGTATTGGTGCATTACCGCCACCTTCTGCTCCGGAGTGTGAATCGGCCAATACACTTACAATCTTTCCCCCAAAACAAAAATAATAATACATTTATTTTTTATTTTTAAACCACCACACTAACCTATATTTTATCCTCCATGTTTTACCCTCCAACCTATAAAACCTTAGCCTCTGGCTCTGACAGGCACCCTTGTACCATATCCCTGCATTCCTTCCACCTAACCTGGTAACTTTGACTCTCTTTGGATTATGATATAAATGTCTCCCTTTCTCCTCTCTGTCCCACATTCTTTTTTGCCACATTTGCTTGATATGTTCCCAAATGGATACCCTTGACCTCTGCCTTCCTGACACTAATCTTCACATCCATGTTAGCTTTCTTTGAAGCCCTCTTTGCCAACTCATGGGCGTTCTCATTGAACCAAATAGCCCATGTAAGCATATAAATAAATGAGTGATTATTGAAATTTAACTTTCAGGCCAGTCTGTGTTAATGTATAACAACAAAGGACACTCGGTAGACTTAAAGTTAATATAAATACTCCCTGAGACATCTTCACAGATGGAAACGCCAGATGAGCAGTGACTCCTTTATACATTCATATATTTCCACATTTATCAATTATCTGCGTCAGCACGAGCCAGCGGCCGCAGCTATTCCTTTCCCCGCCGATAGAGGGCGTCTGCGTGACGACATGAGAGGCGCCGCTCTCCTATTGGTCGACAGAGTTCCCCTTCACGTAGCGGTGGGCTGGACGCTCCGGTCTATATAAATGTGGAGGCTGCGAAGGAAGCGAAGAAGACCCTCTACGCAGCAGGTAGGACGTCCGGGCTTGTTGGTTCACGTCTTGTTAACTTCCAGCTGAGGAGAAAACCCTCTACGCTTTCTTAATTAACGACATATTCATAGCTAATGTGTCCGTTTGCTTGTGTTTCACGGGACGTTAGTTAGGAACCGATATGTGCGCGAGTGAGGAACATTGGTTTGGCGACGTTTTTATCGGCTTTTTCACCACATGCCTAATATGAAGCTAGTACGCACGGATAATGCAGCTTATGAATATGCAATGTTAAGTCCGTAGCGCACAGCATGCATTGATTTCTGAATCCGCTAGTTCATCTCAGCTTAATGAACTTTGACACAAGCTCATAAACCTCCCCGTCTGTTTTCACTCGACGTGTTGCGTCACCAAATAGTGAGGAAGTTCATTTAAACTACAATACATTTCACTTATCATACCTTTTTTTAAAGTTAAACACGAAAAGGAAGTCAACTACAGCTTCCTCTGCTATAGCTTTCTTTTTAGATATGCAAATTTAACAATGGCACGAGCCACCGACCAGTTCCAGTGTGTAAAAGTACATGAGTATTACCAAAATGTACTTTCATACGAGACTAAATTCTGCCTGTTCGTGTTATCGTTGATAGTAATACAACAATGTAAAATGAGCTTTTTACTGTTGTACTTGAATGAAGTGGAGCTAATTTGAACCATGTTGTATCATGTATACTGGTTCAACATTGTATTTTATAAACCGATTATATGTTTTGAATGGAAAATATAATCTGAAGAATAACTACAGTATTTTATCGTACAAGTACCTCCAAACGAAGTGCAGCACTTGAGAAAATGTAATGCCTTCCCTTGTTGTTTTTACAGCCATGTACCTGTATCTCCTGGGGCTGGTGGTTTTCTACTACCTGTACCGCTGGTTTAGGGAACTGCCCCGTGTCCCCGACATCGGCAGCAAGTATGTGTACATCACGGGCTGCGACACCGGCTTCGGCAACCTCCTAGCCCGCCATTTGGACAAGATAGGGTTCAGGGTGATCGCCTCGTGTTTCAGCGAGAAGGGGGAAGAGGATCTGAGGAAGTCCTGCTCCAACAACCTGATCACAACACACCTAGATGTGCGGTCCAAGGACAGCGTTGCCAAAGTTGCAGCGACGATCAAGGAGAAAGTGGGGGAGCGCGGTGAGTGGAGTGTTCACCCTCTCTTTGTTAAAAGTGATTCCAGTGACTGGATGTCCTCTGTGATCCTCTTAGGCTTGTGGGCTGTGGTGAACAACGCAGGCGTGTCCATCCCCTCGGGCCCGTGCGATTGGCTGACCATCGACGACTACAAGTCCATGCTGGACGTCAACCTTCTCGGAGTGATCGCGGTGACGCTGAGCGTCCTGCCGCTAATTAAGAAGGCCAGGGGAAGGGTGGTGAATGTAGCCAGCGTGTTCGGGAGGATCAGTGTTACAGGGGGCCCGTACACTGTCTCCAAGTACGGCGTGGAGGCCTTCAATGACAGCCTCAGGTGAAACATTAACTCGCACAATCAATTATTTGTCAGTATGTCTGAGCAAAGATTCTTTTGCACTGACAAAACTGAATGTTTTCCTCAGGTTGAATATGGCGCCGTTCGGTGTCAAAGTCCTGTGCATCGAGCCGGGCTTCTTCAAAACAAACGTGACCGACGCCACTATCCTGACCCACAACGTGAATACGCTGTGGGACAGACTGCCCCAGGACATGAGGGATGACTACGGAACTGAATTTCTACAAAAGTGTAAGTTCGTATTTTCTCTTTCCTACATTTATGCGGGGCATGTTTCTGTTTCGTTCCTCTATTTATTTGCTCATTTCCCCTCCCAGCATTAGTCACAATAATAGACAAAGTTGCCAAGATCAGTGACGGGGATCTGATGAAGGTGGTCAACTGTATGGAGCACGCCGTATCCGCCGCCCGGCCCCGCACCCGCTACTCCCCAGGCTGGGACGCCAAGATGTTCTGGCTGCCGCTGTCGTACATGCCGACCTGCGTGTCCGATTACATCGTGACCAGAGAAGCCATTCCTATTGCCAAGCCGCTGCAATGAGTTGTGCACATTTTATGCAATACAACTTTACCAATGTAATACTGATGTCTTTGTCATTCCTGATCTAAGCCTTATTCCTATGTGTGTTTGTACACTGACATGAACAATGCAAGTACTTTGTCTATCCCGTCTCTGACTGTACTTATTCATGACACCTTATCTACAGGCTGGAGTTTCTTCAAACCAATGTGGCCTTGAGGATTGATGGGAATGTGACAGGTCAGGGAGTTGCCATAAAAGCCACATTCAGACATTACAAAGTACATTTAGAGTAGGACTGTTTGTGTAGATCAGGCTTAAAACCATTTGAATATTGTCACCGTCTTTCAAACCTTTTAACCAGGACGTTCCTTGAGAAATATTTTTCATGGCAGACCTTCCAGACTGCTCTGTAGCAGTGTAGTCGCTGGCTCAGCATCAACTTCCCCGGTGCACAATACATGCAGAGACAAGACTTCAGGCTGTCGCAAATATTTTATCTGGAATTAATAGAACTAGTTTTAGGCCTCGCTATCCCTACTGGTTTATTTACTTTAACCATTAAGACGCAAACCACGTGGTATAAATGTTGTCCTGCAGATCGATCCATGAACTCTGGCAAATTGTTGTAGAAAACCAGCTGTAAAAAGCTACATTTACTTAGCCCTTGTACTATGCTACAAGGGCTTATTTTTTTTACCCTCAAGTTGAAACAATCACTGATCCAATAGTTTGTCCACCGTTTTATTTCAGTATGTGACAAGCTGCAACAGTACATGGCTTTAACATGACTTAACACTGCCACCTTGTGGTCAGAGTGGACGAGGACAGCTACTTCATAAACTCATGAACAACATTCTAAATGACGATTAAAGCATGAGAAATATACAGTTGACAAGTTGTGTAAAGACAGTGTTTTATTCCATCTTCCATTGGAAACATTAAATAGAACTTTCTTTCATGGATGACGAGACAGGTACATTTTGACATGTTTTACAAACCAAGTGCTCCTAAAGCGCAGAACCCCTCCTTTTGTTTATCCTCCCCTTAACAGTTAGATTGTTTACACGTTTATGAGTGCTCCTCAGCCAGCTTCGCAGCCTTCAGAACCACTTCCTCGATGGCGCCGACCATGTAGAAGGCCTGCTCGGGCATACTGTCGTAATCGCCTGCAGGGAAACGGGGAAAGAAAATATTAGTACCATGACGAAAGCCGGTGAATTTGAGGGGCACAAATCTATAAAAGTGAATGAAAGCACTAACCGTTAAGGATGCTCTGGAAGCCCTTGATGGTTTCCTTGAGGGGAACCAGCTTTCCGACGTGGCCGGTGAAGACCTCGGCCACCTGGAAGGGCTGGGACAGGAAGCGCTGGATCTTGCGGGCACGGGCAACCGTCAGTTTGTCCTCCTCAGACAACTCATCCATACCCAGAATGGCAATGATGTCCTGCAGGGATTTGTAGTCCTACAGGGGGAGTAACATTTTTAGTATTAACAAAATAAACCAAACAAAATAAGAAGTTTTGAAAAGATAATCAAGTCCCAAACCTGAAGGATTTTCTGCACACCACGGGCGATTTCATAGTGCTCGGTGCCGACGATGTTGGGGTCCATGATACGGGAGGTAGAGTCCAGGGGGTCGACAGCGGGGTAGATACCCAGCTCAGCGATGGCACGGGACAACACAGTGGTGGCATCCAAGTGAGCGAAGGTGGTGGCGGGGGCGGGGTCAGTCAGATCGTCAGCGGGCACATAGATGGCCTGGTGGAGAGAACAGTCACTTAATAGCAGCCAATCAGCTCTTTATAAATGGCTCAATGGTGGGTGAACATGTACGGGCACAGCTCCAGTCAGTTAGCGTTTACCTGCACAGATGTGATGGAGCCCTTCTTGGTGGTGGTGATTCTCTCCTGCATGGTACCCATGTCAGTGGCCAGAGTGGGCTGGTAACCCACAGCAGAGGGGATACGCCCCAGCAGGGCGGACACCTGAGGAGCAAGATGACTTTGTTCACTATCAAGCACACAAGTCAGCATTAAAAAAAAAAAAAAAAGTGGGACTGCATCTGAATGATAAAATTCGATTAACTGCGATAAAAACAAATGCATCTTTGCTTCTGACAGACCTCAGAGCCAGCCTGTGTGAAGCGGAAGATGTTGTCGATGAAGAGCAGCACATCCTGACCCTCCTGGTCACGGAAGTACTCCGCTACGGACAGTCCAGTCAGAGCCACTCTGGCGCGTGCCCCGGGGGGCTCGTTCATCTGTCCGTACACCAGCGCCACCTAGCAGGGGACAACCGTCGGGAGTTAGCGGGTTGACGTTTGCTACCACGACATGCTAAATGTAACTTTCTTCAATATCTCGTGCCTAAACCCTCACCTTGGAGGTGGTGTCCTTCAGGTTGATGACGCCAGACTCAATCATTTCATGGTACAAGTCGTTTCCCTCGCGTGTGCGCTCTCCCACGCCGGCGAACACAGAGTAACCACCATGGGCCTTGGCCACGTTGTTGATCAGCTCCATGATCAACACAGTCTTGCCCACGCCAGCACCACCGAACAGACCTGTGGCCATGAGGAATAAGAGGATTAGTTTTAAGACACTACCAAGTGGCTTCAAAGATCCCAGCATACAAGCCATCATCTATCCTGTCTGTAGAGCCATAATGGTGGGCAAACTTGTGTTCAAGCACATACCGATCTTTCCTCCCTTGGCGTAGGGGGCCAACAGGTCCACCACCTTAATGCCAGTCACCAGAATCTCCTGCTCCACACTCATGTCAGTGAACTCAGGGGCCTCAGCATGGATCGGTGCAGTCCTGTGGGGGAAACAACATTCTTCATTAAAGAGCAAAACTATTTTTACAAAGCTCGTTTGACTCTTGCATTTTTAAGACATTTCATTTCCAATCATTAAAATACTGTAATCCATTGTATTGTTGTTTTTTTTTTAAAGGTGAACTCACTGCTTGGTGGAGATGGGACCCCTCTCGTCGATGGGCTCGCCGATGACATTCATAATCCTGCCCAGAGTCTCGGGACCCACTGGGATTCTGATGGGGGCACCAGTGTCCACAACCTTCTGTCCACGGACCAGACCCTCAGTACCATCCATAGCAATAGTACGCACTGTGCTCTCCCCTAAACACAACACATTTCAAGTTAACGTCCCCTGTATGAATGCTTTCTGCTCATACGGGTACTGACTGTTATACTTTTAGTTGCTCACCAAGATGCTGTGCCACTTCCAGGACTAGCCTGGACTCACGGCCAGCGACTTCCAGGGCGTTGAGAATGGGAGGAAGGTCCTCGTCGAACTGGACGTCGACGACGGCACCGATGACGGCCACAATGCGCCCGGCGGGGGCAGCTGCAGCGGCAGCAGCTGGTGCGACATAATCCCTGCCTGTAAAGTAATGCAGACAATATGTGCAGTTAGCTCGGTAGCATACATGCGTGCTACAGCCATGACCTTGCAGTGCCAGCGGTACTCAGGAGCCTTGAAAAGCACCAGAGACAGCTGCGTGTCCGGTCGCTCCGTCTCAATGTCAAGCGATTGTTGTCGGCCAAACGATGAATTAGCTTTAAACGCAACTGACATAACCCGAGCGAGGCCCTTTAAGAAGTCAATAAGTGTACATGTGTGGAGTTTAGGTAGACTTTGATCAGTACAAACCGTTGACAATTCATTTCACCGATTAAGTAACGTTAAAGTGGAGAGACCGGCAGATGAATGAAGTATAACTCGAGCTAACATTGCTAATGATACTGCTAATGACAAACGCAGGGCATTCAATGGCAAGTACGTTTAACAGTTTAACAGACAACCTTAATGTCTTGTTTTCTTTGTAGATAAACTGAATGTGGGTAAACGTTGCAAACTACTTTATATTGTTGCTAATCTACTAGCCAGACTTTGCTAAAACGCAACTTGTAACGCTAGCTTAGCATGCTCTGCACAGTCTCGCACCGCCTCATGTCATTACACAAAGGTCATTGCTGCTAGCACAAGTAAAACACAGCCTAGACGTTTTCTGACGCGTGACATCTGTCAATAAGAGCATGTATGCACACGTGTAGCCACATAAACGGTTTGAATTACTCCATCAGATTTCAAATTAGACATGTTAATGTTGAGGCCTGCTACGCCGCCAACAGGGCAGCCTGCGTGTGGCTTGCAGCTAACGTTAGCCGTGCCCCTGCCCTTCTGACAGCCGCGTAGAAGCGCATTTTTCTTCGTACGATGTCGCTCAAAAGCACCAAGCATGCAGGACTCACGTGAGAGGACGGCTGGGGATCCAACGAGGGCCTTTAGGGGCTGGACTCCAGGCTTGAGAGCCTGCAGTGCCCCGGTGCAGCAGCGTCCCACAGCTCCTAACATTGTCAAAATGGCTGAAGGTGGAAAGAGACGGAGGAACTTGCGGCTTTATAACGAAGGGCCGAGGAGGCGAACTGCGCGTGCGTGCAACGTAAGTGTCTAAACTGAGCATGCGCAGATGGTAAGCCTGTTCAGCTGACATTCTGCCCTCCAGAGCTGGACTATTTGACAGTAAATGTGACTGCTGACTGACAGTCCAAACTAAAAGTTACATATAATACAAGTGTTATACATATTTTTAAACCAGTCATTAAATTAATGTAGAACGACATGGGAACAAATGATTTTGGAATACTTGTGGTGTCCCATTCATACAGTGTTTCATGTCAAGGGGACATTTGTTGTTCTTGTCTGGAGACCCTTCGGTCACTAACAGTGCCCTCATTCCCCAGAGACAGAAATAAATGTCCACAGTTGGTTTCATGATCTGACTGAAAACTGTACCTCTCTGCTTGTGTCTACAGAACTTTGTCTTGATATTATTATGATTGTCTGTACTGTTTTACCTCAACATGAGGTGTCAGTTGACCTCGACACGTCCATGGTGTATACTTAAAACATTGTGTCTGCACTGACTAAACAGCTAGGTGGTGTACAGCAATTTAAGTACTGTACTTAAGTGCAATCTTAATTTACTAGTACTCAACATGAGTGTTTCCGTTTTATGCCTTGACTGGTAACGTAGTATTTTTACAGTGTGTTGACACTACTTTTACACAAGTTTTGAATCTGACTTTTTCCACCACAGGCTGCTGACTATGTAATG